GACCCACGCCGCGCTCGAACACGTCACCACAAAGTGATCGATCCGTTCGTGTACCATATCCACCGCGCGCGCGCGCGCTCGACTCGCGTCGAGATCCAGCCTCGCGCTCGAGGCGTCGTTGTAACTCTCGCCGTCGCGCGACGCGCACCCGTCCCGTCGCCGCGTCGCGCGTCACACCCCCGCGCGACATGTCCACCGCCCGAGCGCTCGCCCGGGCGCTGGACGACGACGACGACGACGTCGACGACGACGTTCGCGGTCGATCGACCGTCGCGCGCGACGCGCACGGCGACGCGGACCGACGGATGGATGAATGTGCCAGCCGCCTTCGCGATGCCGAACAAAAACTTCGCGTCTCTCGGGCGCAGTTCGCCGAGTACGCGCGCGCGCGGGCGATGGAGTGCGACGATATATCGAGCGATGGACTCGCGACGGCGGTGGAGGCGTGCGAGCGATGGCGCGACGAGGGACGGGGGGAGGCGGCGGCGGACGTCGCGCGCGGCTTGGCGAAAACCGCCGCGGCGTTGGACGCGGCGAAGCGCGAGGCGGAGGGCACGGCGGAGGCGATCGAACGAGAGTTGGCGCGATCGAACGCGAACGGTGGTGAGGAGCGAATTGTTCGGGGAGATTCGGCGATGGAGACGGATGATGGGGCGGAGGAAGAGACGGGCGCGCGCGCGTCGGCGGCGACGGAGGAGAAGGACGGCGTCGCGCCGGGCGCGAGCGACTTCACGGAGCGAGCGAAGTACATTCCGATGCGTCTGACGCCGGAGGAGCGGAAGAAGCTTCGCTTGCTGGAGGCGGCTCTGCACGTGAGCGAGTACACCGACGTCGTGGACGTGTTTAGTTATCGGTCAAAGACGCAGAGAATCACGCGACAGCTCAAGGAAATTTGCGCCATCATGTGTGGCTTAGTCGTCGCGAGCGATTACCGCGCGGGGCAAAAGTTGATCGTCGATAAGGAGTTCAAGGATAACGAGGCGTTTTTCCAGGACGTGTTCGAGATCGGGCGAAGACACAAGGTTATGAATCCGGAGAAGATGCGAAGCGAGTATGGAAAGTTGATTTTCTTGCTTCAAGACTCTCAGTCGGAGGAAGTGCAAGAGTTGCTCGGGTTCAAGCTCGTCAAGCCGTTGCAGACGGTGTTTGCGTTCTTGCAGAGCAGAGGCGGCGAGGCGATGCTCGGTGACAGTCTCATCGAGGCTGCGACGGCGGAAATAATGCACGAAGGCCTTCCTCGACACGAGGTTCAACGGATGATCAAGCGAAAAGAACGCGCTCGCGAGGTCGTCGCGAGCAAGTACTCGTCGTCCACGCTCGATAAGGAAGACATACTTCAGTGCCTGTACTCGATCGCGGATAACAACGCGTATTTGAGGTTCAATCGGGATCCCGTCGATAAAATGCTCGGATTGTTGAACAAGTACTTTGACCCGTCGGCGGCAGAGAAGGCGTACAGCTTGGGGATCACCATGGGCATGGGCGGGGCGCGATTGAGCCACAACCACCAGCGTCAATTCACCTACTGCGCGCAATCGATGATGCTCTGGCGTGAGGTCTTAAACGACATGTTCCGACTCTGGTATCTCGCCGAGAGTGATTTGCTTTGCGAGCGCAACTATTACTCGCTGACTAACACAGGTCAAGGATTGAATCGCGTGCAATCGTGTCCTCGCGTCGGCAAAGCCATGCACGGCGTGTTGGCCAAATGTCAACGCGCTCTGGGCGGCTGGGTCGGGAGCTCCGTCGTGCACCTCGGCGACCACAACGTCCCGAACGCGCTCGTGTTCATCGACAAATACTCGCAAGTGAGTCGAATTCTGAACCCGATCGTTCTCGTCATCGATGAGCTACCGAACCTCGCTAAGGATTCGGGTCTCAAGGCGTACATCGAGGCCACGTTTGGGGGCATCGAGGAGTGTCAAAAAGCGATCTTGTGCGACTTTTTCAAGCACGCGTTCGACGGCAGCGGTTCCGACAACTTTTTCGACGCCGGATCGTGCATCGACGGTCGACTCACCTCGAGCTGGAACTGGTGCTCGAAGATCGAGAAGAAGACGTACTACCCAATCTTCAAGCTCGCTGGGTTCTCCGGATTCGATGGCGGCGATTTTAGGTCGTGATAGACGCGCAAAACGAGTTGAAACGCACGCCTACGCGACGTGAAAATACGCACCCTTCACACCTCGACGCGCGCGGTCCGTCATGTTTCGCGTTCACGCGACTGTGTCCACGTCGACGCGAACCTTTCACTCGCACCGAGATCGCCCCATCACCGCGCACGCGTCGCAATCGATCGATTTCGCCCCACAAAAGCGAAAACGACTCAGTTGGATGCCTCGACTCTTAGAGAACGACCGAGCGAAGCACAACACGGAGGACGTTTCGACGTGGCAGCGCGAGCGACAGGCGTACTTATCCTCCGTGGAGACCGTGCGGTTCGGCGATGGATGCTTCGTGGGGGACGGGACGGAGATTTTTGCAGAACGCGGGCGGGCCGTGACGCTCGGCGACGGCTCGCGCGTGGCGGCGAACTGCTTCATACACGGACCGTGCGATATCGGTTCGCGAACGAGCGTGAACGCGGGATGTCACATCGAAGGTGGGTCGGCGGGGGTAAAGATCGGGGACGATACCAGGATTGGGCCGAATTTTTCAGCGTTTGCGTTCAACCACGTCTTCGAGGACGCGACAAAGCCGATACGTGAACAAGGGGTGACGAGCGAGGGGATCGTCATCGGTGTGGACTGTTGGTTGGGTGCGAACGTAAGCGTTACGGACGGGGTGACGATCGGGGATCACGCCGTAGTAGGCATTGGTTCCGTGGTGACCAAAGATGTCGAACCATGGAGCGTCGTCGCCGGGAATCCAGCTCGAGTGATTCGCCATAGGAAACGCCCCAACGACGTGGCATAGGTAGGTTTGTATCTAAAAGAGATTGTATTATACCGCATCCAATCATCGCTTACCCCGTCCTCCTCCTCGCCCGCCACTGCGCCCTCCTCGCCCTCCTCGCCCGCCGCCACCTCGTCCGCCGCCACCTCGTCCGCCGCCACCTCGTCCGCCGCCACCTCGTCCGCCGCCACCTCGTCCGCCGGACATTCTTTGTTTCTTCTTCTTGTCCTCTTTGCGCTCTTTTCGAATCTGATCCGCATTTTTGAGTTCGTCTTCGCCGGCGCCAACTCCGAAGACGCTCGGCGCTTCTGCTTGCTGGGCGCCCTTGGTGTGCCAACCTCTCTTGAAACGTGAAGAATCGACAAACGCACGCTGGCTCGCCGTGGACTCGTCTTCCATCGAACCCGTGGCGGTAATACTCTTGTGCGTTTTCGCAACCCACTTTTTATACGTAGCGCCCGCTTCAACGGCACTGACGCGCTGTCCGGCTTCGTTCTTGATGCGCTTACCTCCACGCTTGAGGTCGATTTCGTCACTTCTGATGTGGACGTAACGCTTCTTTCTAGCGTCCCAGTGATAGAGTTTCTTTTGTCTCGATATGCCCGCACCGTCTTCTTCGACAAGATCCATCGTAGCGTCTTCGAGAGCGCCGTAAGCGCCCTCACGCGTTGATAAACCCAGCTCGGTGTGATTTACCGCGCGCGGCGCGTTGTCCAGGAAGAAATCTTGGTCGCGAAACTTGCCCGTGTTGAACGCATCTTCAGCGGGTGCTGCCATCGCCTCGTAATCGGCACCACCGTCGTTAACGTCATTATCGAGCCCCTCCTGGTTGAGAATGGGATCGTCTTCACCGAGCGGACGAAGTGCACGCCCCTTGATGGTTTTGCCCTCGCGTTTTGCCTTGATAAATTTTTCATCCTTCAGACGCTTCTGTTGCATCGCTCTACTCGTCTCCGTGAGCCTCATCGATCCGTTGACCTTAGTTGCACTCGCAACTTCGGCCTCGAGCACGGTGGCCTGTGGGCGGTAGGCTCTGATGCTTGCCGTGATTTGGGCGAGCTCTTGCGTGGTGGCGTCTACGCCGCCGCTCGCGCACAAAAGTGGATGCGGACCCGCGTGTATCAGTGGCTGTGCTCGACTCATGGACTCACTCGACGCCGCTCCGCGTGTTTTTTGGTACAGTTTGTAAGCGTTCGAAGCCGCACGCTCCATACCTTCGAGCTCGTCCCTTTCCTTCATGAGTTCACGTAACCTGTCGACAGTCATGTCGAGCGCCCCGAGCGGGCAGGTCCCTATGATGGACGTCGCGGACTCGTCCGCGGCGCGAGCGATCTCAGCAGCCTCCTCGGTAGAATTCGGTGGAAGCTTGGACGCCGCGGCTATCTTACGTCCGAGGAAAAGGTGCAAATCAACTAAAAATCCAAGCTCTTCCTTGACGAGAAAGCTGTGCGCGTTACCTGTGCGACCCGCTCTCGCAACCCGACCAACTCGGTGCACGAAAAGCTTACCCTTTGATGGGAAATCGTAGTTGATCACGTTATCTAAGAGAGGAATATCGATACCGCGCGCCGCAACGTCCGTTACCATGAGAACGTCAGCCTTCTTCGCTCTGAACTTGCTGAGCGCCATCTTGCGCGCCATCATGTCCATTGAACCGTAAATGCTCGACACTCGCACGCCTTCGAATTCGAGCAAGTTGTGTAACCACTCGACGTGGTGCCTTGTTGACGCAAAAACGACTGTCTGTTGCCCTTTCGGGATGACTTCGCGCAGCATATACAGTAACGCCGCGACTTTTTCGTCGTTTCGCATCAGGATGAAGGACATCTTCAAGTCTGTTGAAATTTTCATCTCAGCATCCAGACGCACGACTTCGGGCTCACGCAGACCCACTCGGACGAATTCGGCCAGTGCACTAGGTAAAGTCGCCGAGAATAATAGCGTCTGCCTGACATCCGCGACGGAACTCATGACCTGCCTCAACTGATCCGCGAAACCCATCTCCAATAACCGATCCGCCTCATCGAGGACGACGTGGCACACCGTTCGCAGCGTGAATGCTTTCACCTCCTCCACGTGGTGCAACAATCGGCCGGGTGTTGCGACGATAATATCCGGATTATTGCTAAGATCCGCGAACTGTGCCTCCATGGAGTCGCCACCGACGAGCGCGGCGACGCGCAAATTGGTAAACTTGGACAACTCCTTCGCAAACGCGAACGTCTGCAGCGCTAACTCCCGCGTTGGCGCCAACACCACGCACCGTGCACCCGCTTTCAAACTGTGCGTTCGAAGCTTACTCAACACTGGAATCAAAAACGCCGCCGTCTTCCCGCTCCCCGTCCTCGCCATCGCGACTACGTCCCGTCCCTCCAGCGCCGGCGGTATCGCCTTCCGTTGAATCGGCGTAGGTACTCGATATCCCTTCCGCTTCACCGCTCGAAACACCTCGGGTAAGATCTCCATCGACTCGAACCCTCCGCTCGACTTCTTCTTCTTCGCTTCCAGCGTCCGCCGCCGTCCCGTGAGCGCCTCCGCCTGGGCGAACTCCACGTGTCCGTCCTTTTCCATCCCGACGTCGTTCGACTTCGACGCATCGTTCGTCTTCTTGGACGACTTTGCCTTGGTGTTCTTCGCACTCGAAGCGATCGGCCTTGACGCGTCGTCGTCGTCCACGGCGTCGCTCTTTCGTCGCTCGGTTGGCTTTCTGGCGGCGGCGGCGGTGTTTTTCGCCCGCATTTCGCCCGTATCGCGCGATGGAGCGCCGAGCGCGCGCTCGGAGGGACGTCGCGAGACGGTCGCTTGGGCGGCGCGCGCTCGGAGCGAGCGCGTGTGCGAGCTCGCGAGACGTCGAGTGAGGCGGAGGGCGCGAATGAAACCAGAGGCGTCGAACGAGCAAATTTGGATGATGGCGATTCGGCGACGGGCGAGGCGTCGCTTCGGTCTAACGTGACTAAATGAGATTGCAAGGCGCGTCGACGAACGCACGATAACTACGACGGACGTCGAGGTCACTTTGCGTCTGTCATCTTCTGGTCGGCGTCCGCTGATTTTTCGTTCTCTTTCTCCTTGTTCTCCTTGTCGGCATCCTCTGTAGCGGCGGCGGCGTCTAACGCGCGTTCGCGCTCTTGATTTTGTACCTTGTTGTTGATCAAGTCGTGCAGAGCGATCACGGCTCGGATCAACGAGCTCAGATACACGACGAGCATCGAGTCGTTGGCCGAGACGTTGAACCCCTTGACGTACTCCTCCAAGTTTAGATTCGGGAGCAAGTTGAACGCATCCTGAAGGTGACCCATGATTTCGTGATTCACCGGTAGCGTGCCGTCCACGACCTTGTCCATGTACCCCTTGATCTCCTCCAATCGAGTCTTCAAACCTCGCAGCGAGTGCACCTTTTCGCTCACCTTTGTGCTCAGCGTCGAAACCGTGTTATCCTTCACGTCTCTCAAAAGATGCTCCACCCCGATCTCCTCCGCCTCAAACGCCTGGATCGAATTCGGCACGTGTACGAACGTCTTCTGCTGCTTCTCCGTCCCGTCTTCCTTCACCTCTATCTGCGCCGCGAACGCGCTCGTCGGAATGTTCGCGTTCTCCGCCCGCACATCCACGATCACCATCACCGGCTCTTGCGCGTACGCGTAAAACAACTCGTGTATATCGATATCATTATCCCTCAATTTCGGTCCCGTGCTGTACCACCCCACGATCTTCTCCTTGGCCGAGATCTTCCTCGACATTCTATACATGTTTTCCAGGTAGACGTGATCGAGAAACCAGATCCCGCTCGCGTCGTCCTCCTCCTCGAACGGCACCGCGAACGACGACGTGACATCGATCCTACCGCGTCGCTGTTCCCCGAGCAGGACCCCGACCACGCGTTTGCTCGCCTCATCGCCCTGCGCGCGTCGAAAACCCACGTTCACGTTCGAAAGTCAATCATCCACCCCGATCGCCCGTCGGTCGCCCGATCGTCCCGCGTCCTCGCTCGCACCTCATCGCACCGCCCGAAGTGATCGACGACGGACAACAGCACCAGCGGGTGCACCGCGACCTCGCTCGGCGTCGCGCTCGGGGTCTCCATGGCGTCGCGCCGTGACGTCGCGCGGTGGACCACGGGCGTGGGTCACGCGCGCACTGCATCGGTCGACATCGACCGGTCGCGCGTGGGAAAACACCGGTCGACGCCTTTCGATCGCGTCCCTTTCGAGCACCGGTGGAATGCGTCGACGCCGCGCCGCCAGAGCGCGACGATGGGGGTCCCGAGCTTCTACCGATGGCTCTCCCAAAAGTACCCGAAGATCGTCGAGGACGTGGTCGAGGACGAACCGATGGACGAGCTCGGTCGCGCGGTGGCGCTGGACGCGTCGCGGGCGAACCCGAACGGGATCGAGTTTGATAACTTGTACCTGGACATGAATGGAATCATTCACCCGTGTTTTCACCCCGAAGATCGCCCGGCGCCGACGACGGAGGGGGAGGTGTTTGAAAATATATTTGATTACATCGATCGGTTGTTTCTGATGATACGACCGAGGAAAGTTTTGTACATGGCGATCGACGGCGTGGCGCCGAGGGCGAAGATGAATCAACAGCGGAGTCGACGGTTTCGCGCGGCGCAAGAGGCGAAGGAGAAGGCGATGGAGGAGGAGAAATTGAGAGAAAAGTTGACCAGAGAGGGGGTGAAGGTGCAACCCAAGGTGGAGAGCGGGGTGTTCGATTCGAACGTGATCACCCCGGGGACGCCGTTTATGGGTCGTCTGAGCGAAGCGTTGAAGTATTACGTGCACGATCGATTGAACAACGATCCGGGATGGCGGGGAATCGAGGTTATATTTTCAGACGCGAGCGTGCCGGGTGAGGGCGAGCACAAGGCGATGCATTACATTCGTCAACAGCGGGGGTTACCGGGGGCGAATCCGAACACGCGACACGTCGTGTACGGTTTGGACGCGGATTTGATCATGTTAGGACTCGCGACGCACGAGCCGCACTTTTGGATCTTGCGTGAGTTGGTATTTCAGAAGAAAGATACGAACGCGCCGCAGACGCTGGGAATGGGGACGGAAGAGACGAAGAAAAAGGTTGCCATCGCGCGCAAACCGTATCAGTTGCTGAGCGTGAGCGTCCTGCGAGAGTACTTGGCGCTAGAGTTGAGACCGGTCGCGCCGACGCCGTTCAAGCTCGATCCCGAGCGTCTGTTCGATGACTTTATCTTCATGTGTTTCTTCGTCGGGAACGATTTCTTACCCCACTCGCCGACGCTGGAGATTCGCGAGGGCGCGATTGATTTGTTGATGACGCTCTACCGAAACCTCCTGCCGACGCTCGGTGGCTACCTGTGTGCGGATGGCCGACCGAACCTACCGGTCGTCGAAAATTTCGTACAAGTCGTCGCGCAGCACGAAGACGCCATCTTCCAGAAGCGCGCGAAGAAGGAGGCGCAAATGCGAAGTCGAAGACATCGCGAAAAGCAGAAGGCGAAGGATTACTACGATCGTCAACGCCAGGCGAGCGGTACGGTCGGACCCTCGAATTCGTACGCTTTGGGCGGATCGAAACTGGCGAGTGATCGCGCTCCAGCTGCGCCTGATCAACTCGTCGCGCTCGGACGCGGTCGTGCACCACCGCCACCACCGGCGAAGAATAAGACGGCGGAAGAGAACAAGAGCGCGGCGGACGCGCTTCGAGAGAGACTCAAGGCGCGCGGTAAACGTGCCGCTGAAGCCACGGCGGACGTCACGACCGAAGACGCGGATGCGAAGAAGGCGAAGACGGCTGAGGGCGAGGACAAAGAGGACGCCAAGGCAAAGGCGAAGGAATTCTGGAGCGAACTGGAACAGGCGACGACGGAAGCCGAAAAGGAAGATTCGGAATCAACCCTCACGACGGTTGACAGCGACGAGGTCGTCGAACATCCGTTCGTACAAGCGACGGGGCCGGATGCGCAACCGGGGGATTGGATGTGCCCGACAGGATGCGGGGCGATGTACGGGAACAAAGGCTCTTGCTTCAGGTGTGGTTGCCCGAAACCGAGCGAGGTGCGAAAGTTCAAGGCTGGAGAAGAAATGGATAGCAAATCTTTCCTCAAACAACTCGAGGGCATCGTCAAGAATCTCGGTGATCGCGAAGGCGAATCACCAGATACAATTCGGCTCGGCGAAAGCGGATGGAAGGATAGATATTACGAAGCGAAGATGAAGGCGACACCACAAACGCGCGAGCAGATAGCTCGAGGCATGGTTGTCGAGTACGTTCGGGGTTTGATTTGGGTGTGTCGATACTACTTCGAGGGGTGCTGCTCATGGGGATGGTTCTATCCGTATCATTACGCCCCGTTCGCGTCCGACCTGACGAATTTAGCGGGTATCTCCACCGATTTCGAGCTCGGGAAACCGTTCAAGCCCTTCTCGCAGCTCATGGGCGTGTTACCCGCGGCGTCGTCGCACGCATTGCCGGCGGCGTATGCGCCTCTCATGTCCGACAAGGACTCTCCAATCATCGACTTCTATCCGGAAGATTTCGATCTTGACATGAATGGAAAGCGATTCACGTGGCAAGCCGTGGCTTTGTTGCCGTGGATTGACTCTCGACGCCTGCTCGAGCAGACGGATATGCTCGAGTACACGCTCACCGCGGAGGAAAAGCGCCGAAACTCCATCAACGAAGAGGAGATATACGTCAACACGGCGCATCCGTTGGCGAAACAGTTCGTCAAACTCGACGAGCGCGAGGACGAGGACGCTGAAAAGACGCTCCCGATGGATCCAAAGCTCAGCGACGGGATGAACGCGACGCTCGTTTCGGTAAAACGTGAAGCGAAACCGTCAACGATTCCGTCGCCCATTTCTTGTCGGCCGGATATACAGAACAATCAAGTCATCGTCGCTTCTTTGCGTCTACCGACGGACAGGTTCGTGCCTCCCGTGCTGATGCCCGGCACTGTCTTACCCACTCCGAGCGTCACGGAACAAGACTTGCCGCCGCCGCCGATGACGATTTTGGGTGAAAATTTTGACAGGCGCCCGCGCGGCGGTGGTCAACCTACCATTGATTACGGTCGAGGCATGGCGGGACACCCGATGGCCGGTCCGATCGGTGGACCGCGCATGGACTCTAGAGCGCTCCTGGACGCGAGCATGGGTAGAGGCGCGCCGCTCGGAGGCGGGGCGAACTTCCAACAGCGCGCCCCGCCTCCGCCGCCGACGTACCCGCAGGGATACCCGCAGCAGTATACTCCCGGCGGCGGAGGCCGCGGCGTCCCGCTCGGAGGATTCCCTTCTGGGAATCCAACGCCCGGACGAGGCGGTCCATCGCCCGCGGGCTACGCCCCCGGCGGTAACCGCTTCGCCGCGTTGAACAACCTGCCGCGACGCGGTCCGCCCTCGACGCGTCCGCCCTCCTCGGACCCGCGCGCGCGAAAGTGATCCACGCGCCCGCACGCGTTCGTTGTTGTTGTCATTTCACGTGTACACTACCCCCCGAACGCCTCACGACTTGCTCTCCATGGATGAAATTTTACTCGCCGTGACGAGATCCGTCAACAAACGCATTCGATCCGCCCGACACGCCGCGTGCGCCTCCACCAGCGCCGCCGCCTTCAGCTCCATCTCTCGCCTCGCCCGCGCGTACGCGTGATACACGCTCTCCTCTTCCTCACCATCATTCACCGTCGCCGTCGCCGCGCCGCGTCCGAGCGTCCGCGTCAACGTCTCCGCCGCCGCCGCGCTCTCGTCCAGCGCCAGCGTCCGCAAGAGCCCCCCCTCGCACCCACTCGCGACGCGCACGCTGAGCGCGTCGAGCAATTCAAAATCTTCCCTCGCCCGCGCGTCGGCGTGCGCGAGCGCGTCCTCGAGCGCGCGCAGGGTTCGTCCGAGCGCGCTTCCGCGGGCGGTCGATGTCGTCATCCCTCGCGCGCGCATCCGTCCCGGCGTGCCCGCGGGCGTCTCCGCGAGGGGCGGGGACGTCGCGCGCGCGCCCGCGGGCGTCTCCGTGGGCGACGACGGGGCCCCCATCGTCCCGCGCGCGCGCGATGTGTCGTCACGCGTTCGACACGTTCGCGCACGCGTCTCGCGTGTTCACATACTGTACATCATATTCCCCTGTCTATGTGTACATCTCAGGCACGTGTTCATACTGTACATCACATTCCCCTCTCTGTGTGTGTACATCTCAGGCACGTACACGTCCTGACAGGATGTACGGGACGACATCACGCACACCGTCACGCGCGTCGCGCTGTGCGACGCGCGTCCTCCCCGCCTCGTCGGCGCGGGAGCCGCGCGCACACGTCGCGCGTCGCGAAAACGTGCCGACGTGTGTCCGAGGTGAAACACCCATGGGAGTACCCCCTCTCGTACTGTTTACCCATACAATACGTCACCGATCATGACGCTGAAAGGGAGATCGCTGCAATCTCCCTTTCAGCCTGACGCAACAAAAGGTGCGCACGACCACGACGGCGATGAGTCGAGATCCCACCGGTGTCACGTGTCTGTGTCACTCGTGACGAGTCATGACTCCTCGAGTGACGACGTGTCGTCGCACTCATCGCCTCGCGCGCGCCGTTCGCGCGCGTCGGCGTCGGCGTCGCGCGATGCTCTACGCGAGCACGCGCGGGGGCGCCCCCGCGGTGCCGTTCGCGGACGCCCTCCTCGCCGGTGCGCCCGCGGACGGCGGGGCGTACGTCCCGACGCGCGTGCCGACGGTGGATCTCGGACGCGTGATGGATTTCGCATCCTTCGAAGACGTCTGCGTGGAGGTCCTGAGCCCGTTCGTCGACGACGCGTTCGACCGCGAGGACGTCCGAGCGATCGCGCGTGAGGTGGTGTCGAGACATGAGAGCGGAGAGGTGTGTAACGTGCGACGATTGGGACGGCGGGGGGGGCGCGAGGCGCGCGTGGCGGAGCTCTTTCGAGGACCGACGCTGAGCGCGGAGGACGCGTCGATGCAAATGACGATGCGGATGCTCGATCGGGTGTTGGCGCGGAAGAATAAACGGGCGAATGTGGTGTGTTGCTCCACGGGCGAGGCTGGGGGGGCGCTGGCGAGCGTGGCGGCGGAGATGACGCGGGTGGACGCGTGGATCGCGTACCCAGGGGACGACGGCGACGTGAGCGAGCCGCAGGAGCGAGAGATGACGTGTCACGTCGAGGATAACGTCCACCCGATCAAGGTGTTCGAGTGCCCGGATGGTGTGAGCGACGTCGACGCGGTGGTGAGCGACGTGTTCGCGGATGAACAGTTTAGAATGGCGCACGGGTTGGTGAGCGCGAATAGCTCCAACATCGCGCGGGTGCTGAGCTACGTCCCGATATTCTTTTACATCTACGCGCGAGTGCGGTCGAGGGAACAGGATCGGGGGAAACCGGTGGTGTTCACCGTTCCCAGTTCCACGTTTGCGCTGGAGTTCGCGGGGAGCTTGGCTCGGATGATGGGTTTACCCATCACCATCGTCGCCGCGTGCAACGCCAACGGAGCGGCGCACCGCGTCATCTCCATGGGCGAATTGTACAAGACGGACATGGTGCACACCTCCTCGAGCGCGCTCGACGTCGTCGTTGCCGAGAACGTGTGGAGATCGCTGTATTACGCCGCGGGTTCGAACCCCATGATCCTGAGTGAGCTTCAGGATGACTTTGACGAGGATGGCGAAGTCGCGTTGCCGCCGAAAATGGCGCGAGAGTTGAACACCGTCTTTAAGAGCGCGCTCATCGACGATGATTTACTGTTTAGCGTCATTCAACACGAAGAGCGCTTGGGGTTCGTCCCGTGTCCGCAGACCGCGCTCGCGATCGCGGCGATAGAGATGATTCGGGACGTCCCCGAAGACGTCCCCGCGGTGGCCTTGGCGGTGTCGCATCCGAGCAAATTTCCAGACGTCATTCGTCGAGCCGTGCCGCAACTCTCAAATGGGGCGTCGCACCCCACGGTGGAAGCGATGACGGGCTTATTCCATCGCCGTCGCACGTGCACGCTCGAGGAATTCGAGCGATCGCTGCGCAGAGACATCGCGGCGGTGACGGCGATGCGTACGCCCGAACCGGTGCGCGTCGAACGCCTCTTGCTCGAGCGCGAGGATTACGAGCGTCTCTACGCCTCCGTGCTGAGGAAAACGACGAAGCGTGGGAAATTTTTGGATAATCCCTTCGTCAACGTCTTCTTAGCGCTGATGATCTCGTTCTGGGCCACGGCGACGACGCCGCCGCGGGACGCGTCCCGGAGCCGCGAGAGAGACGCCCAAAAAGCCGAGGCAAAGGCGAAGCGCGATAAAGAGCGCGTCAGAGTGCGCGAGGCGCGCGCGCTTGAGAAACAGCGCGCGCGTGAAATCAGCGCGCGCGCCAAGGCGGACGCGCGCTTCGCGCGAGAGATGGCGCGCGCCGCGCGCGCCGAGGAAAAGCGCGCGAGAGCTGGCGCGCCGACGAAACCGCACGTCATGCACGCCTACGCCCGCGACCGCGACGACGCGCGACCGCCGAACGAACACTTCGCGCACGAACCCAATCGCAAATTGCGATGATCGCTGTAACGCACACCTGTACCACGCCCTTCGCCTCCGCGTCGTCGTCGCGCGCGTTCGAACCGCCCCGCGCGCGAGCCGCGGCACACGTCGACGCACCGTCCATCCCCACCCACCGCGCTCGCCCACCGACGCG